ATTCATAATTTTGATTTATGCCCAACTAAATCAACAGTTAAATATTTTGTTATTGCAAAAAAACCTTGTATTTAATTCTTGTGCAAATTCTTTTGATAAATCAATCATAAAATTTGGAGATTTTGCACAAAATAAGAAAGAAATTATATTTTCAATTGCAATGTAAGGTTTCAAATAATGAAAAGTGAATTTATAAGATTAAGCATCTTTCAAAAACATGAGCATGATGTATTGATAGATTATAAGTTCAATCACCAGATCACTAAATTGAAATGAAATCAATATAGTTCTCTCTACTGCTTACTTCTACTTTAACAGTATCATGTTATATCATCCAACCAATTTCAAATGTGCCAAAATACACTAAAAGTTTGGAGGTGTATTGAAACAGGCACAATTTTAAACCTTAAACATGCAGTCTTGAATGTATATGTATTTTTTCACATTTTCAGGATGTCTTGAAGCTCTTCACAGCCCACAGATTGCCTTTAAAGCACAGTTACTGTTGCTATGGGAGGAAATATGTCAGCCAATTTGCAGAATTGACCCCACAATGGCAGAATTATAAATGGTCAGTTGATCTCTCTAATGGTGTTGGTTGAGGGATAAATGTTAACCCAGACCTGGGTTAGAAAATCCCCTTTGCTGCTTCTGATAGTGCTGTGGGACTTTTTACAACTAGCTGAATAGGGTGATAGGATCTTAGTGTCTCATCTGAAGGATGGTACTTCTGACAAGGCAGCACTCCCTCATGCAACAGTAAAGTGTCGATCTAAGTTATGTGCTCATAATTGGGTTGAGGCTTGAACTCATCACCCACTGAATGAGAAGCAAGAGTGCCATACTTTGCATCAAGTTACAGGTTCAAAATTTATAGTGCATCCAAATTTTTAAAATAATTACCAAGACCACAAATGCTATTTTGTGAAGTCACTAAATAAAACAAGATTGAGTCGCAAACTGCAAAATGAACACCCACTTAGCTTTCTGTGCTGGAAACAGAATGGTTAATGCAGGACGAGTTTAAAGGATAAATTAAAATTGTTATTATTTCTCTACACGTTGATAGGAGCATTTCTCTTGAGAGAGTGACACTTCAACACTCATTTTGCTATGTTAATTTTTACTTTGTTCACTTTTATGAAACTTAGTTTTTCTGAGTTTGGACGGACTAAATAACCATACATAAGAGGCAGGAAGAGGTTGTAAAATTTGGTTTTGACTAAAGATTTGGAGTAATTGTTTGGGCACACACTTAGTACTTCAGATTAGAGAGCAACATACATAAATACAGAGAATTGGATCTGGTTCTTAACAGCTGCTGAATTCATGAGTTTTTCTTTGCATTCCTAACATGATTATTAGAGTGTGATCAAATTCTTTACAGCTCATGAAAGAAAGATGCAACGCGTGCCGAAAGGGGAAAGCCTACATCTGTCACATCTGGAAAAGCCAGAGTTCCTATAACACATACTTTTATGAAGTTAATTCGTTTCTTTTATTAAAAGAAACAAAGTGGCTATTTAGATTTGGTTTGGAAATGAATTAAAGCAAAAATGCTGAATGTGTCTTATTCTTGTGATGCATAATTTAAAATAAGCAGCGCAAAATAGATATATTTAAATATGTGTAGAGTCAAACTCGGTTAGCTTGTAGCTTATTGTGCAAAACATTAGTTAGTTGTTTCATAGATTCTTACATCTTGGAAGATGCCCCCAGCTCCATTCTGACATTTTTGAACATATTTTTGGTTACTCATTCTGCATTTTCCTTCTTTGACTGGTCATCGGTCTTCCCATTTGTTGAGGCTATTTAATAAGATCATGGCAGTTACAATATATAAGCAGGTCTTAGTGCATCTCATTTTTGATGATCTGATTCACCTGCGGTTAGGTGGTTGGCCAGGAAATCTTTAAAACAATAATAATGCAACTCAGAGTTTCAGTAAGAGCTGGGCTGCAGTTGTGCTAGAAAGCAATATTATTCCTGATTGAGAACTTAGTCAAAATTTCTAGTAATCTTTTTTTTTCTGGAGTTAACGGTTGTCAAAAGTGTGGAGTAGTGTGTTTTGGGTAAGTAATTATTACCTTTATTCGTTCATTTATGTTTAAATGTTAGCTATGTTTCTACAAGAGTTTTTGCTCCTCTTATAATAATTTCAGGCTAGCTGCAAAAAGGTATACAGTCTGGGACTTCTGTCTATAAGTAACTGCTGTAAGAAAATTACAGAAGATATATAATGGCATAGCTATTTTAGCCATTGGATTAGGTATAGTAATGATTTTAATGCTACTTCTTTTTTTGGTTAATATTTGGGTGATGTGGTGGTAGTCTAGAGATTACCACCACATCAGAGGGCACCACATCAGAGGGTCTCTGGATTACCACATCACCTAAATATTAACCAAAAAAAGAAGTAGCATTAAAATCACAACTATACTTAATCCAACAGCTAAAATAGCTATGCCATTATATATCTTATGTAATTTTCTTATAGCAGTTACTTATAGACATGAGTTCACATCTCACTATATCAGCTGGAGGAAATTAACTTTGCGATCAAATCTGGATTATAAAGCTCATCTTAGAAATGGTGACCACAAAACTATCAACAATTGTTTTAAAAATCTATCTAATGTCCTTTAGGGAAGGAAATCTGCCATTCTTAACAGGTCTGGCCGAATGTGACTTCACACCACAGAAATGTGATTGACTCTTAATTGCTCTCTAAAATGGCCTAGCAAGCCACAAAGTTCAAGGGTAGTTAGGGATGGACAACACATCCTCACCATCAAAGCCCACATCCCGGCAACGAATAAAAAAAGTTTTGTAAGGCACGCTAATCTTGCTGACAGCTATTATTTGCACAAAATCTTATAGCAAGATTTTAGGGTGGATGTAGAAAACATTTTCACTTGTGGGTGAGTTGAGAAAAAGTATTATAAATATACCACAGATAGCCACTAAATTCTGAAATAAAATATTTAGGAGGATTTTCTTTACATAGAAGGTAGGTTTGGAAAGGTTAGAGATTCGGGAGGGACACAGCCTTGCATGAATTTAAATAGGACAAGAATTTTGCATTTCAGATCGAAGGGGACTGGAACGTGTGCCATATGGAGTAGCTAAAGAAGAAAATATTAATGCAATTATGAGAAGACTTGCCATTAACCCAAAGGGAAAAAGAAATGGGTTGTGAGGGCTGGGTGGGAAAAGATAATTGAAGTCGGAGGATAACTTTTGTGGAAAAATGCAGACACAGGCTAGTTGAAGTATAGGTCTGTTTTGATGCTATGTAAATAATTGTTTATAGAAGTGATTGAGTTCCTATTTGAATTACATAACTAACTGTAATTTAAGCTGTTCTGTTCATCCTCCCACTTAAAAGAAATGATTTTATTTTTCTACCTTGCACCATCCCTGAGTTAAGGGTTGCCTTTTCCCAGGCCAGTTCTTGTAGCATACTTGACCCACCTGCTGCAAAATTCATAGACTTGAGTTCAGTTTTCTTTCTACCTGTAAGAAGTCAGTCTGTATTCCAAAAATGGCTGTATTATAGAATCGTGTCTTTAACTCCAAGTAAAATTGATGTGGGTGATTCAATTAAAATAACTGATCTATTTGTACCACTTTCTCATTTTTCCATGCATTTGATTTATTCCATCACCATGTTCATCACATGATACTGTCATTCCCATTTATCACAATGTTTTTATACAGGGAAAAGGACAGTAAGTAAATGGTATGGTGTGGGAACAAGCTAGCTTAACTTTGACTGGTGGAGGGAAATCAACAGAGAGGAAGGCAACAGAACATAATCACATCTTAAGAGGGTTTCTCAGCGGAAAGGAAAATTGTAGCTTTTTTGCTTTAAGTATTTGTTGGCAAGGTAATTCTTAAACTTTGAAGTAGTATATATTAATCATGTGTTTTGTTTTTTGTTTCAGAACTGTAATAGCATAATTATTCCCACACAGTCTTTACAGTGTGGTTTGTCAGCATCAATTCATGAAGAATTAAGGCAGCATTTACACTGTGATCTAAGGTCTTTTAAGAACGAGATAGAAATTTCCAAAACTTGAATTTTGAGAACCTTTATAGCCAGCAATGAGAGAAGGCATTCATAATTTCAGGGCAAACTCGGTTCTGACACGGTTGAAATTTTCTTAAATTCTATTAAGAGTGCACCTTTTTAGTCTCTCTTGTAAGATATATATAATGTTGGCTTGACTGGGGTGAGAAAAGGTTCTTCATTAAGTGTTGCCAAAATAAGTTAACACATTGGAAAACTTAAACTTCAGAGATTAGCTAGTGATGTGCTTTATGCAAAACAGGACCAATATTTGTTTATTGAACTACGTTGGTTTCTTGGCTGCCAGCCTATAATATTGTGTCTAAATAATCTTTTATACAGCTTATGTCATCACTACATTTGAGAAAAGATTCTTAAATTAAACACGTTTGTTTGGTATTGTTGCACTATGTAATTTTGACATGATGAATGGCTTTTTTGTAGGCAATTGAGTTATTTCAGCAACTCAGCAAAGCTACTGTAAAACAGCTGGTATGTCACAGTTGGTTCCCATCTGCTCTTAGACACAGTCATGTTTGAGTTTCAGGGAACCAAAATCTCATGTACCATTTTCTTGAGAATTTTCCGCCAGAGAAGAAAAGCATTGTCACATTTGCTGAAAACGTGTTGTTGTGAGTTGTTAGTATAATAAATTTAAGTGTCGTTCCCACATGTACAGAAAAATCTTCATTACAGTGCATAAGAAAATTAAAAAGAAGCCTCATTCCTACAGGTACTTACTCCAGCCATTTAGTTGGTTTTGTATGTCGCTAACTGCACTAATAGTGAGTGATTTATTTTCCTAAATTTTGATATCCTTAAAATGTATTTTGTGTTAGAACTCTTCTATCCTTTTTCTTGTTTTTAAATCTTGAACCTTTAAAAAATGCTTTTTATATCAGTTTATTTGTATTTGTATTTGTTACAGGCTTATGAGTGGGCCCTAGAAGGTATGCGACACCTTGCGTGCATCAGCATGGATGACTGCAGTTCCCCAGAATGCTGTGGGTCAGTTGTGAAATACCTGGACAATCATCATCGTCAGCATCCTGAAATTCCAGATGTTGAGTTTCAAGAAATGAAAGATTTGGCATGTGAATTAAAAAGTGAGAAAGGAATTAAACAGTGGAAATTTGCTTGGTCCAAATGTCAAGAGACAAAGCTTATCTTTGAAAAGAAGCTGGAGACTGCATTGCGAACAAGGACGTCATTGCCATCAGACCATAGACTTTCTGATATTAACATTATAAAGAATGAAATTATTAACTTAGGACAAAGGAGACATTCAGGTGGAATGGAGCAAAGATTACAGTGTGAAAGGGGTATTGCAGGATCCAGCAGTGGTAGTTGTTTACTCAACAGGTCAGCGCATGGTGGAATGTGGCAGAGAGAAAAAAACTCATCACAATCTTCAGGCATTTGTTACAGAAATATAAAACATAAGGATGTTTTTATACCAGAATCTGTTCTTGGCAAAAACTCTAGCCCAGGTTTCCAAGGCTTTGATCAAACAGGAGTAGGGAGAACTTGCACTCCAGCTCGTACATCAACACCAGATGCTTGTAGACAGTTGCATAATATCTCTAATGAAGCCTACTATTGCAGTAATGTTGACTCTTCTTGCATAGAGTCTAGATGTCTCTCAACACCAGATCCCCAGAATCAACATCTGAAAAAACTATTACGGAAAGCGCAGAGTTTTGACTGTTCACCCAGTGATACCCACAGGTATCATTCATGTCAAAGAGCTTACAGTGAACCTGCAAGGCGTGGAAACACAGGGGTATTCATTAAAGGACTAGAAGTGAGCAGCACTGAACTTAATGATAGACCTTATACCCCCAAACAGCAAGCTTTATTTGGTTGGACTGGAAATCAGACAGAAAGTCACAGAAGCCATTATGCCTTACGAGATACAAAGTCTAAGGGCAGGTGGGTATTAATTTAATCCATGATTCATTTGAATTGTTGGCTTTTTAACCGAGTACTGTGTAAATGGGATTGTACCAAAGTATTGCAGTGTTATTTCAGAAATATGGAGGAAATGGTAACCAATCGTTTTCATCCCTCTAATTGTGAGGAAAAAATTGGATCTTGCTGCATCTGTTTTATGGGCACGAGGAGGACCAATTTCAGAGACCAGTTTCTGGTAAACGTATACAGATTCAGCTGGGAAACTTTAAATGAAACCTCTTTCACTGTGCAGATATTTCTTAACCTTTTGTGAGCTAAGGTAGCTTTCAGTTGTTTCAGCGGCAGGAGTCTGGGAGGAAGCGCGAGGGCAGCCTGGGAAGGTAAGCTTTTCAATTATAAAAGCCTTACCTCGCGTGACTGCGGCCTTTCAGTTGTTTCAGCGGCGGGAGTCCGGGAGGAAGCACGAGGGCAGCCTGGGAAGGTAAGCTTCCACCCAATAAATTTGGGAGTTAACTAATACCTGAGACACTACACGCGTAGTGTCTCCCACCCTTCCACCTCCTCTAACCTAATAATAACGATTAAGTGTGGTGACCAGGTAAGCTATTTGCATTTTTTTTTCTCATCTCTTTGTTATCTTTCGGGGTGGTCACCTAGACACCAAATCCTCTGGGAGCGGGTCGGAAGGCAAAGCCGGAGTCTGTTTGAGTATATAACGGAGTAAGCTTACTGGTGCAGAGAACACTGCGAAACTAAAAAAAATAATTAATTTTAAATAACTAACTAAGTAGAGATGGCAGGCCAGGTGATGTGTTGTAGCTGTATGATGTGGGAGCTAGCTGATCCCATTGAGAATGCCAGTGACCACATCTGCAGCAAGACACCGCCCTATTCACGTCAATAGACATACCACTGGCAAGGGAAACAATGACAACACTACTTGAACAAGAACACGACCCCAGTGAAACCATCTCCAAGGACAACATGCTTAAACTACTGGACCTATGCCTGACCACCCACTTCACCTTCAACGGCCAAACATACGAGCAAATCAACGGGATACCCATAGGCCTATCTCCGGACTCATAGCAGAAGCAGTGATGCAAAGACTGGAAAGGACTGTCCTTCCGCAAATCCAACCTAAACTATGGATACGCTACGTAGACGACACCTTTGTCAACATTAAACGGACCAAATTAGAAGAGACACACAAACTCATAAACAACACCCTCACCGGAATAAAATTCACCAGAGAGGAGGAGAAGAACAAACAACTCCCATTCCTGGACGTCATGGTAGAGCGCAAGACAAATGGGGAACTGCAAATGAAAGTACACCGAAAAGCCACACACACAGACCAGGTATTGAACTTCAATAGTAACCATCCCAGCACACACAAACACTATTTAAAAGGGCGACAACACACTGCAGCAACATGGAACTACGCCAAGAGGAGGAGGAATACCTCTTCCAAGTGTTCAAGGATAATGGATATCCAAAGAACTGGGTCAGGAGATGCCTACAGGAACAGCATCAGAAAGATTCTACACGCCCTGACACACTCATCACACTACCCTACATCAGGAACACGTCAGAACTCACCACAAGACTTCTACGACCGCTGGGCATCAGAGTGGCACACAAACCCACATCAACCCTATGACAAGTGCTCACCCGAACTAAAGACCCACTCCCCGCCATGGACAGGACCAATGTCATCTACAAGATCCCCTGCAGAGACTGCGAGAAACACTACATCGGACAAACAGGAAGGAAACTAACAACAAGAGTACATGAACACCAACTGGCTACAAAAAGACATGACCAATACCCACTCATCTCAATCCACATGGACAAGGAGAACCACGACTTCGACTGGGACAACACCAAGATCCTGGGACAGGCTAGGCAGAGACAAGCACGAGAATTCCTGGAAGCATGGCACTCCACGAAGCAGGCTATTAATAAACACATTGAACTCGACCCCATATACATTCCACTACGGAGGAAACCCGGAAGTGAGGCAATCCATCGCAACGGACCCCAGAGTTTAAAAGCCAGGCGGGAAAACACACCGACGCTTCATCAGAGGCTGCATTGAGGATGTTACCAAGTACGGTAACGAAACGTCTGCGGAACAACAAACCAGCTTGGCAAGCCAACCAACCTCAAGCAGGTTATAGCAGGTGAGGACCTAGAAACTATCATTATCACTAAGGAAGCAGTACTGGGCAAGCTAATGGGGCTAAAGGTAGACAAGTTTCCTGGCCCTGATGAAATACATCCCAGGGTACTAAAAGAGGTGATGGGGGAAATAGCAAATGCACTAGTAATTATTTACCAAAATTCACTGGACTCCGGGGTGGTTCCCGCAGATTGGAAAACAGCCAATGTGACGCCACTGTTTAAGAAAGGAAGTAGACAAAAAGCAGCTTAACTTCGGTAATAGGGAAAATGCTTGAACCTATCATTAAGGAAGAAATAGCAAGACATCTGGATATAAATTGTCCCATCGGGAATACCCAGCATGGGTTCATGAAGGATAGGTCATGTTTAACTAATTTGGTGGAATTCTTTGAGTACATTACTTGCATGGTGGACAATGGGGAACCTGTGGATGTGGTGTATCTGGATTTCCAGAAGGCATTTGAAAAGGTGCCACGCCAAAGGCTGCTACATAAGATAAAGTTGCACGGTATTACAGGTAATGTATTGGCATGGATAGAGGATTGGTTGACCAGTAGAAAGCAAAGAGTAGGGGTAAATGGGTGTTTTTCTGGTTGGCGGTCAGTGGCTAGTGGTGTGCCTCAGGGATCAGTGTTGGGACCGAAATTGTTTACAATTTACATAGATGATTTGGAGTTGGGGACTAAGTGTGGTGTGTCAAAATTTACAGATGACACTAAGGTAAGTGGTAGAGCAAAGTGTGCAGAAGACACTGAAAGTCTGCAGAGGGATATAGATAGTCTAAGTGAATGGGCAAAGGTCTGGCAGATGGAGCACAATGTTGATAAGTGTGAGGTCATCCATTTTGGTAGGAATAACAGCAAAATGGACTATGTTTTAAATGATAAAAAATTGCAGCACGCTGCTGTGCAAAGGGACTTGGGTGTCCTTGTGCATGAATCGCTAAAGGTAGGATTGCAGGTGCAGCAGGTGATTAAAAAGGCAAATGGAATTTTGTCTGCCATTGCTCGAGGGATGGAGTTTAAAAACAGGGAGGCTATGCTGCAGCTGTATAGGGTCCTGGTGAGGCCACACCTGGAGTACTGTGAGCAGTTTTGCTCTCCTTACTTGAGAAGAGATATACTAGCACTGGAGAGAGTGCAGAGGAGATTCACTTGGTTGATTCCAGAGTTGAGAGGGTTGGATTATGAGGAGAGACTGAGTAGACTGGGATTATACTCATTGGAATTCAGAAGAATGAGGGGAGATCTTATAGAAACATATAAGATTATGAAGGGAATAGATAAGGTGGAGGTAGGGAGGTTGTTTCCGCTAGCAGGTGAAACTAGGACTAGAGGGCGTCGCCTCAAAATAAAGGGAAGCAGATGTAGGACTGAGGTCAGGAGGAACTTCTTCACCCAAAGGGTTGTGAATCTGTGGAATTCCCTGCCCAGTGAAGTGGTTGAAGCTACCTCACTGAATGTTTTTAAGGCAAGGCTAGAGAATTTTTGAACAGTAAAGGAATTAAGGGTTATGGTGAGTGGGCGGGTAAGTGGAGCTGAGTCTCAAGAAGATCAGCCATGATCTTATTAAATGGCGGGGCAGGCTCGAGGGGCCAGATGGCCTACTCCTGCTCCTAGTTCTTATGTTCTTATGTCCTCTGGGTGCTCCAGTTTCCTCCCACAGTCCCAAGATGTGCAGGTTAGGTGGTTTGGCCATGCTAAATTGCCCATCGCATCCAGGGATGTGTAGGTTAGGTGGGTTAGCCATTGGACTGCAGGATTACAGGAATAGGGTAGGGGGGCAGGTATGGGTGGGATGGTCTTCAGAGAGTCGGTCTGGACTCGATGAGCCGAATGGCCTGCTTCCGCACTGTAGGGACTGTATGATTCTAAGTATTATAATTTTTATCCAAAAAGTGACAACCTTTCATTGCAAAACAATAGACTTGCAAAATGTTCTGTTTATGATTTTGTTGGAAAAATGCATATGAAAAAATTTACGTTTTCTGATTATTAGCCATTGTTTCTCGGTGACAGCTTAATAATCAAGGAACATTTTTGTCTTGGTTGTAACTGTTCCTTGTTTTAAAATCAGTTTCTTCACAGGATCACCACCTCTTCTTCAAGCAGGAATCTCATCTTGGACAGTAGGAAGCATTATTAATAGCAGTGGTAGTCCCATACTTCACCCGGCTAGGAGCCTTAGTGATGGTGATATTGTTTGTTCCACTGTATCTGAAAGACTAGATTGAATTCAAGGAGGGTAAGAAGTCATATTTCAACTACCCAAAGCCCTGGTTATTCCCCACCTTGGACTATTTTGAATGGTCTGCCTACATAGCTTAGGAAGGATATATTGGCCTTGGAGTTATTTTTAAACAACCTGTTCAGACATGCGATGACACACTTTCAGAGAAGGTGGGACTTGAATCTGGATCATCCAGCTCAGAGGTGGGGATGCTATCCCTGTGCCACAATATTCTCATTTATTGGCCTTGGAGAAAGTGAAAGTGTAGTAATGTGTATGATGTCTGAGCTCCAAGAGTTAAACTACGATGAAAAATTACATAAAATAGGGTTGTATTCCTTAAAAGATCAAGGAGTGATTTGATCAATGTTTTCAAGACAATAAGGGGAAAAATTGGAGTTAATAGAGAGAAAGTATTTTCACTACTTGCAGAGCCTTAGGCTAGGGGATGTAGTCCAAAAATTACAGTCAGATCATTGAAGAGTGAAGTTAGGACACTCTTTACATACACAGGTAGTTAAGGTTTGGAACTGTCTTCTGGAAATGGTGATTTGTTACCAAGTAAAGTGTTAATTTTAAACCTGAGATGGATTCTTTCTTCACTCTTGGGACGTGGGTGTTGTTGGCTGGCCAGCAATTATTGCCCATCCCTAGTTGCCCTTGAGAAAGTGGCGGTGAGCTGCCTTCTTGAACCACTGCAGCCCACATACTGTAGGTGGACCTACAATGTCCTTGGGGAAGGAATTCCAGAATTTTCATCCAGCGACAGTGACGGAACGACAATACATTTCCAAGTCAGGATGGTGAGTGGTTTGGAGGGGAACTCACAGGTGGTGATATTCCCATGCTGCCCTTGCCCTCCAAATGGAAGTGGTTATGGGTTAGGAAGATACGGTGTAAGGATCTTCAGCTTCATCTTCAGCTTGCCTGTTAAATCTCAAGTAAATGTCTGAAAGGAAACTACACTAGTTACTAAGTTAGGTATGTCAGCTATATAACTGAAAACATTGTACCATTGAGCCGGAATCTCTGTAAAGCATTAAATATTATTATTCTTGAAGACTTTGGATACATCCTGTTTCATCTGGTACAATAAGTGCATTGTTCGCAAACTATATCAATGATTTCAATGTGGGGGCTTATTTCCATGTTTGCAGATGATACAAAACTTGCTGAAAATGTGAGGTGTGAGAAGGATGCAAAGAGATTTCAAGGGATGAGTGACTGGGCAAGAGTATAGTTGATGAATAAAATGTTGATAAGTGTGAGAATATCAGTATCAAGAAAGAAGGTCCAAAATATTTCTTAAATGGTGAGAGATTTGTAAGTGTATATGTTCAAAGGGACCTAAGTGTCTTTGTTTATAAATTACTGAAAGCTAGCATGAGGGTGCAGCAAGCAATTTGTAAAGCAAATGTTTTGTTAGATTTTATTGATGGCTGTGGTGTCGAGAGCCTGGGAGCATATTGTCAGAATAAAAGACAAGCCATTTAACACTTGGGTGAGGAGGAACATTTTCTGTCAGAGATTAGTGACTCTTTGGCATCTTTTACCCTAGAGGGCTGTGAAATTTTAGTCATTTAGCAAGTTCAATACAGAGAATGATAGATTTCTAGTCACTAATAATATCAAGGAATGTGGAGATAATCACAAACTTGATTGAGTTTCTTGAAGAGGTGACCAAAAAAAATAGATGAAGGCAGAGTGGTAGACGTTGTCTATGCAGAATTTAGAGAGTGCAGAAAAGCTTTACAATGATATTGCTGGGACTGGAGATTTGAGTTATAGGGAGAAGCTGGATACGTTGGGACTTTTTCCCCTTGGAGCGTAGACAGTTGAGGGTGATCTTATAGAGGTTTATAAAATCATGAGGGGCATAGATATGGTGAATAGCCATGGTCTTTTCCCCAAGGTAGAGGAGTCCAAAACCAGGGGGCATAGGTTTAACGTGAAAGGGAAAGATTTAGGAGGGACCTAAGGGGCAACTTTTTCACACCAGAAGGTGGTGCATACATGGAACGAGCTGCCAGAAGAAGTAGTAGAGATGGGTACAATTACAACATTTAAAAGGCATTTGCTCAGGTACATGGATTGGAAAGATTTAAAGTGATATGGGCCAAACCCAGGCAAATGGGACTAATCTAGTTTGGAAAACCTGATCAGCATGGATGAGTTGGACTAAGGGATCTGTTTCCATGCTGTATGTCTTCATGACTCAAAATGTAGGACGATGACAGTGATCAGTCATAATCTAGAAGGGCGTACATGGTCAAGGGGCTTGCTCCTGCAGCTACATTCCTAACTTGACTTCAAATGTATTAAAATGCCTTAGGTATTTTCAAGTTTCTGCTTTATCAGTATCGCCAATCCTTTCAAACATGCAAATTGTTGGAAATACCTTTGTCCTTAAAATAATTATGTGAACAAAGCTGGAAGAGTTGGAAGGATTTGAACAATTTCTGCATTGAAAAGAACTAACAACGTGATATCTTTAGTATTGAAAGTCAAAGGTTAAAGTGTGTTGTAGTTCACCTACTGTTTGTCAGATGACATTGTGGACAGAAGACAAGCTAAGTTTTTAAGAGAGATAAGAGATGTGATTTAAAACTTTCATTGCTGGACAGACTGGTTTGGAAGAGGCCCTCTGCTGAAGGTTACCTGCAACAGCCTCTGGTCTGGAGTTGTTTTTTTCCGTATACCTGGATCTGTCATTGGAAGGAAAAAAACCTCAGACAGCTTATGTGAGAAAGCTAGACTCCCTCATACTTATTCTCTTTTGAAAAGTGTGTAGAATCCTCAAATCGGGACAAGCTGAAAAAATCTTTCTCCCTTGCCACGCTGAAGCACTTAAAGCCAGAGAAAGTTTGAAATATCAGTATCTCTGACTCCCTCAAACTCTGAAAGCTACTGTTACTTCTGTTGAAAGACTAAGTCAATCTGACTTCCTATCCGAGGATTTTTCATTATTCTACAGCAGTCAGCTTTTCAACCTTATCAACAGGAAACTTGGGGAGCTATGAGAAGTCATCCCATTTTATCCATTGATTTTGGACTCTTGGCCCATGGCTGTATTTTTCCCTTTTTAAAAAAAACCTCATTTCTACAGAACTGAATTAGTTTATTTGTTTTGTGAATGTGTTTGTCTGGGATATATCTTAGTTGTTTATAGATTTTGTATTTGTTTAAACAATAAGTTTTATAATTAATTATTTTTAAGTTTATTAAATAATCTAGTGAAAGCATCTTTTGTTCTGGATAACAGTAATAAGGGAAACAAAGTGACAATTTCGGAAACTAACTAAAACATTTACACTTTTGGTATTGTTCATGGAATCGTGGAGCTTGATTACCACTGCACTCGGTCTGTTAATTGTAACGACATGCTTAGTCATAAGAGCTCATGTGCTTGAAGAGGCTGATTGTGTCAGATCCAGCAGCATCTTCTGTTGGTGAGATGAAGGCTCAGGATTCTGCTTTCAGCCTCTTCCATGTTGAATGAATCACATGACTTCCCTTCACCGCATCCAATAACAGCATCCGATCTACATTATGGTTTGCAATCCCTTTACAGGTGTAACCTTTCTTGTGTTAATTGGTATACCAATCACTCCAATATCTATTGGGTGAATCATAAACGTTGTATTTGCTTTGTGGATTGACATCATTTTCAACTATGGATTTTTCTACCTTACAGTGTCATGCTTCGGTAGAAGCTGCCCCTGAAATAGGCCGTTTTGTTATCAATTTATTTTTGGGGGGGAGAATTTCCTATCAGCCATTGCTCTATATTGTTCCCCAGTTGAGCTGTCTTAAACTGGGCATATAAATCTCTGCCTAATATTTTTCTGTATGCTGTTGCCTTTTTGTTTTCAAAAGAAAGCTGGTGATTGACATAAGTACTTTAGGTGGAATATAGACTCCCGTACCATGAAATTCTATTACTCTGCTTGAATTCAGTTTATAATAAAACAAACCTTTGTTATGTTGAAGTTGTTTTTAGGGCAATGAAAGAAAATGTCAGAATGTTTTCATGTATCCAGTTTTCACCTTTTTTCTTCTAAGAGTGTTCTTTGCCTTTCCATGTTCAGAATGCATAGTTTTGTAGCTAATGATTTCTGATTTGCAAACAGATGAGATTAGATAATGCAGGAAGATTTGTTCAGATCTTTTCAAATTAAATTGAATTTGAATTAAACAGCAGATTTTACTGGTCATGACTCGTTTGTAACAAATATTCAGACTAACCAATAATATCAAATCATAAAGTCCAAGTTTTAAAAAAATCATCTTTTTTTTATCGGGACTCATTCCTTGTTCCCTTTGATTTGACTTGAATAAATAATGGGTAATAGCAAATTTACATTGTACATAAAATAACATAGGTGGACCAGAAATTATATATTAGCAAAGTCCCATTTTAAATCATGTTAGGTTGACCAGCAAATTTGATGTTCAATGAAGCCAAATCAAATGATCAGAATTTGGTAAAAGTAAAAGGAGAAGAGCTGCTGTTCCCTGTCTTCACACCGTCAAAACTAGCAAAAATATATTTGGTTTGTGAAAGCAATTTTTTTTTCTTGGATGCTGTTAACATATTTTAGGAGTATGATTCTGCTCAGAGTTAATGAATATATTTGTTACTGCACTGTGCAATGTGCTCTAAAACACCCCAAATTTATCTTTCTTGTTACAGTAAACTGAGACACATTATTGATGAAATGGTGACAACAGAACGCGAATATGTGAAATCTCTCCGGTACATCATTGATAATTACTACCCAGAAATGGAACGTTTTGACGTTCCTCAAGATCTTCGAGGAAAACGCAATGTTATTTTTGGAAACTTGGAGAAGCTTTACAGCTTCCACAGCCAATATTTCCTGAAGGAACTGGAAAGTTGTGTTAACCACCCATTACGTGCCAGCCACTGCTTCCTCAGACACGTAAGCAAACATTCAACTTGCAATATATAATTATATGAAACTGACTAACTTTGGGCTGTTTAAAACAATAATATATAGTTCTGAAGAAGGGTCACTGGACCCAAAACGTTAATTGTGGTTTCTTTCCACAGATGCTGCCAGATCTGCTAAGATTTTCAAGCAATTTCTGTTTTTGTTTCTGATTTCCAGCATCCGCAGTTCCTTTGTTTTTTTTTCAATAATGTAGTGTTGGGTGAGTACTGAGAAACACTCAGTGAGATTAAGAACTAAATTGGCTTATTTGCACATGTGCTACCAGTTAACAATGTCTCCAACAATCCTGATATGGCAGCTGTTGAAAATTTCATTACTTATTGTCTTGGAGATCATGTGTCTTGGAATTGTGGTCGGGGAGAGCAATGGAAGCAGTCAATAGAGGTCTTACAGAAACTACAGTTTGTTTTCAGGTTGTTGAGTCAAGAATAGGTCCCTAGTTAGATGTGTTTTGGTACACATTTGGGACCTGAAAAGTGAAACTAGTAATAAAGGATTTTGGTGTCAATCAGATTTTATGTATTTGTTATATAAGAAAAATTATTTATATAAATATGGCGTGAATAAGAAGCACCCATGGGAAGTTTCAAAATGTTATATCTGATTGGTTATGTTTAGACAGTGCTATAAAAGTGATCCATGTACTTTCTGAGGATCTTGCTGGTAGTTGTTTTGTAGTTGTCAATACGTTGATGTGTGATGTCCAGTCAATCTGTGCTGTGTGAAAGACTTCTTTATTATGTGCTTTTTGTGCAGTGGACATCTTCTGTAGCATATGCTTTCTATTTATCTCTTACCTACTATCTCTTACCATTGTGTCTCCCTCAACTGATATGTTTGATTTCACTAAATTTCTTAAGCTTAGTTCTTATTGATTCATTTTTCCCTTCACAAACATCCCTGCACTCAGATTAGATGTGCTGGTTGCACGTGGCACCATGTAGTTCTGCCTGCCTGTTGCACGTGCAGTTCAGACCACTCTTGCAACTCCATGCATAATACATGATGTTTATCTGACCTTGAGCTATCAAATACTGTAGACGTGTAACCTTTTTCATTCATGGGAATGTGGGTATCAATGAGCCACATTTGTTGCCAATCCCTAGTTGCCATTAAAAAGGTTGTGGTAACCTGCCTTTTGAATCACTGTGGTCTATTACTGTAGGTAGACCTACAGTGCCATTATGGAGGGAATTACAGGATTTTGATCCAGTGACATTCAAAGACCAGTGATTTATTTCCAAGTCAGGATGGTGAGTGGCTTGGAGAGTAACTTGCAGGTGGTGGTGTTCCCATGTATCTGCTGCCCTTGTCCTTCTAGATGGTAGTGGTTGTGGATTCAGTTTGCAGTTCGAAGATTGTTATATTTAAACTTTGGTGATTAGGCAACCTTTTTGAGTTCAGCTCCTTGCTTTGTCAGGCACCCCACTTGTTGAAAATCAGAGTATGTATTTAACTGCCAACATCTATTGCAGCTTATGAACGGGACCCCTCATCACATTAATTTGGCTTCCTGATTTTGTTGCATGCCCAAAAGTGTTCTTCCTTAAATTCAGAAGGCAGTGTAATGAACAGTTCCTTCAATTATTAAACAACATATAGATATGTGCAAAAAAAAAGATACATGCACACTAGCAGGGACACAATGTAAATGTTGTGAGTTGTTAGCTAAATATACTTCCTCAGAAGATAGTGTTATGACCAGGTGAAGAGGAGGGAATTGGCTCCCCTCTTTTTCGGCTGTTCTTCATCAGCTGCAACAAATATATTTTTATTTACTATTTTAGTATATAATTATCAACATAGGAACAGGAGTAGATCATTCAGCTCCTTGAGCCTGTTCTGCCATTTACTGAGACCATAGCTGATCTGTGGCCTAACTCTATATACCTGCCTTTGGTCTATTGCTCTTAATACCTTTTTGATACCCTAGTCCTCTGGAGTATAGAAAAGATCAATATTCTGTTAGCTGCCTTGCTTATTTTCTGCACCTCCGGTACCCCACTAGTCACTGCCTACTGTTCAAAAAAAAAACTCGTATATTTCTACTCCTTGTTTCCTGCATCCATCTCAATACACCACCTCCATTCCCATGCACTTTAATTTTACACACAAATCACTTATGTGGGACTTTGTCACAAGTTTTCTGAAAGTCCAAGTAAACCACATCTGCTGGCTCCCCCTCATCAATTCTGCAAGTTACGTCCTCAAAGAATTCCTGTACATTTCTCAAGCATGGTTTCCCTTGCATAAATCTGACTCTATCCAATCCTACTGTTATTTTCCAAGAGCTCAGCTGTTAAATCTTTTATAATGGACTCTAGCATTTTCCCCACTACCGACATCAGACTGAATGGTATGTAATTCCCAGTTTTCTCTCTGCCTCCCTTCTTAATATGACCCCTCTATTTATCTATCCTCCAATGTGCAGGACCTGTTTCAGAGCCTATGGAATCTTCAAAGGTGACCACCATCGTATTCACCATTTCTAGGGCCACTTCCTTAAGTGTTTTGGGCTGTGGACCATCAGGGCCTAGGGATTTATCGGCCTTCGCTCACATATTTTTCCCCAACGCCATTTTGTTCCTAATACTGATTTCCTTCAGTTCCTCTTTCTTACTAAACCCTCTGTTCTCCAGTGTTTCTTGTATATTATTTGTGTCCTCCTTTGTGAACACAGAACAATAGTATGTATTTAGTTGGTCAACTATTTCTTTGTTTCTAATTATAAGTTCCCCTTCTTCTGACTATAAGAGACCTACAATTGTCTTCACCAATCTTTTTCTCTTGATAGATTGCATATCTCACGATGGTTACCTGGGTTTGTCAGGTAATCATGTAGCCATTTTAAGTCATTAGTGTTCTTTATATTAAAAAAATTGAGTGCATGAATGTCTCGGGTATTAAAATCAAATGATGATCATTGAAAATTAATTGTGCATTTTCACTATGGTCGTGACATTTGAACAATACAGGCAGATCTAATGTCCTAAACTGCAGTGTACAGTAGAAACATTTTTTTTATTTATTCATGGAATGTGGGCATCATTGGCTAGACCACCATTTATCACCCATCTTTAACTACCTTGAAGAAGGTGGTGGTGAGCTACTTTCATGAACTGCTGCAGCCTTTGAGGTATAGGGGCAGAATCCTGATGGGAAGGGAGTTCCAGAATTTTGATGTGACCATAGCGAAGAAATGAAGATAGAGTTCCAAGTCAGGGTGGTGTGTGCTTTGGCAGGGAACTTGCAAGTGGTATTCTCCTGCATCTGCTTTGTTTTTCTAGGGTGTAGAGACCATAGGTTTGCACGTTACTCTTGAAGGGAGCCTAGTGAGTCACTGAAGTGCATCTTGTGGATGGTACGCCCTGCTCTCATTGTGCAATGGTGGTAAAGGCAGCGAATGTTGAAGGTAGTGGGTGTGGTACCCGTCAAGCAGATGCTTTGTCCTGGATGGCGTCAACCTTCTTGAGTGTTACAGAGCTGTACCCATTCAAGGCAGATGGAGTGTTTTCTGTCTCACATACAACTTGTGCCTTGTAGATAGTGAACAGGTACCCAGGAGGCAGGGGGTTAGTTATCCTCTGCAGAATTCCTAGCCTCTGATCTGCTGTTGTAGCTACAAAATTCACATGGCTGATCCAGATCAGTTTCCAGTCAGTGGTAATCCACAAGATATTGATAGTGGGTGATTCAGCTATAGTAATACCATTGAACATCAAAGGGTAGTGGTCAGATTTTCTATCATTTATGTGGTGCCAATATTATTTGCCCTTTATCAGCCCTGCCGAGATGTTGTTAAGATCGTGCTGCATGTGAACAGAGACAGATTCGTATCTGACCTTAACATGGGAAGGAAGTTCATTGATGAAGCAGCTGAAGATGGTTGGGTCTAAAGTCAGAAGTGGGGACATTCGTTGTGATTGCACAATGTTCAGCACCATTCGTGAGCCATCAGATGCTGAATCAGTCTGTGTTGACATGCAGCAAGATCTTGGCAGGGCTGATAAAGGGCAAGTAACATTTGCACCACACAAATGCTAGAGAATCTACCCTTTGATGTTCAATGGTATTATTATAGCTGAATCACCCATCGATATTCTGTCAATTACCACTGACCAGAAACTCCTGCGTAATGACCTGAAGCTGAGATGATTGACTTCCAACAACCACAGTCATCTTCCTTTGTGCTAGGTATGACTTCAACCAGCAGAGAGTTTTCCCCTGATTCCCATTGATTCCAGTTATGCTAGAGTTCCTTGATGTCATATTCAGTCAAATATCGATGTCAAGGGTAATCACTGTCACCTCATCCTTTGAGTTTAGCTATTTTTGAGTTGTATGGACCAAGGATGTAATGAACATTAGTGAGCAGGTTATTCCTATCAAGTGCCACTTGATAATAGTGTTAACAACCCCTTCCATTACATGCCCGGGCAATTTACCACATTGTCAGATAGTTATCAGTGTTGTAGCTCCACTGGAACAGTTTGGCTAAGGGCACAGCTACTTCTGGAGTGCAAGTCTCCGCCACTGTTGCTGGAATGTTTAAGGGGCCCAAAGCCTTTGCTATATCCAGTGCCTTCATCTGATTCTTGATATCAGATGGAGTGAATTTTATTGGCTGAACAGGAGCATCTGTGATGTTGGAGACCTCCAAAAGGAAACTGAGATGAATCAACCGCTTGTGCTTAGTCCTTTGCACTGATGTGCTGGGCCTTCCCTATTGTTGAGTACGGGAATATATGTGTAATCTCACCTCCTGTCAGTTGTTTAATCGTCCACCAGCATGCTTTGGATGTGGCAAGAGTGTAGAGCTTAGACATGATCCATTGTCGTGGGACTGCTTAGTCTTGTGTATCAATTGCTGCTTCTAATGTTTTGAACACAAGTTGTACCTCCATAATCTGACTGTTTTGGGACTGTGTTGGAGAATTTGCTAAACCACATGAGGTCACATGTCAGGGTCAACATGGGGTCTTTAGGCACCTTCTCCCATGTCCTTATCCCAGCCCCTCCACATAGTCCGCTGTTACACACAATCCACTGATAGTCCCTATTAGTAGCTATTCATTCTGCTAGGCTGATCGTTATCCATTCCTTTGTCTGTCCAACTGTTCTTCTCTCTCTTTGGTCTCCACCTCCACCTATCATTTACTCCCTAACCCCTCCCTCCACCCTTCTGCATAAAAAAAAACAACTTTTTCCTAGCTACCATCAGTTTTCAGAAAGGATCACTGGACCCGACATGTTAACTCTCATTTCTCTATATGGATGCTACCAAACATGCCGAGCTTCTACAGCAATTTCTGTTTTTGTTTCTGATTCCCAACATGCACAATTCTTTCGGTTTTTATTTGGGTTTTTTGTTAATTTGCTTGTGGAATGTGGGCATCACTGGCTGGCCAGCATTTATTGCCTGTCCCTGGTTGCCCTTGAGAAGGTGGTGGTGAGCTGCCTTCTTGAATTGCTGCAGGCCATGTCCTGTAGGTAGATCTACAATGCCATTAGGGAGGAAATTCCAGGATTTTGATTCAGTGACAGTGAAGGAACAACGGTACATTTCCAAGTCAGGATGGTGAGTGGCTTGGAGGAGAACTTGCAAGTGGTGGTGTTCTCATGTATCTGCTGCCATTGTTCTTCCAGATGGAAGTGGTCAAGGTTTTGGAAGATGCTGTCTAAGGAATTTCTGCAGTGCGTCTTGTAGACAACACACTGCTCTACTGAGCATGCGACTGAATGTGTGTTTTTAAACCATTCTTTCCTCTACTTGCATCACTCTTATATTCTGAAAGGATTGATTCATACAAAGGCATTTCCCTTATACAAACTTCTGATAATAATCCTCCATGGTCTGTTCAGCCATGGGGTTATTGCACTTGTAGAGAGCTAATGGCCTTTCACTTTGTCAATCTTCCTGAGCCAATCTTGTAGCTTGATTTCTCTAATATGTTTTGGTATTTCTTTGATTAGTTTCTCTTATTTCATGTCTTGCGATATGACCTCCTGCATCTTCCATTCATTCCAGGTATCAAATCTGTGACCAACGAATGTATTTATCAAAGGAAATTCTGCCTGCAACTTCAGTCTCATCATCATCATCATCAGTGGCTTCTTCATTTTTACTTTCAGACTCATGTATCATTTGCACAATCGCTTCATCAGTCAGTTGATTCACAACATCAAACATTTGTCCGATCCTGTTAGTCTTCCTCTCTCAATATCATTATTTACCTTGAGCAGTACATGACTGAATATACTGTTGTCTTACTCAGCATCTTGACAATAATTTGTTTGTTTTGATTCAGCCTGAATCAAATGAAGTCAGTCTTCTCAGCTACATCAGGACTGTCCTTAAATATGAAAGCTGGCCACTCATTCTTCAAAGTGATTGGAGTCACTTTTTTCAGGGCATGATCTCATATCCAGATCACATCCGTGAGGTTTAATTTGTTCCAAAATGTGATTGCAGACCTCTGGCCAAAACCAATTGGTGCATAAATTGGTACCTGTACTTATACGTAAGGGATCGTAGGTTACCTTGGGGTAAATGCACTCCATCACATTATGTTTAACAAGCAATGGCTTTACGGTTACATGAGGACCATGGTGCATTTATTTTTTTTAATTCCAAAGAGACGTCATAACTGTTACATAGTCAGGCTGTCTGATAACTTTCATTTGTTTTGTAATGAAAGGTGATACAAATACAGACAAAATAATACATTCTAATTGATATCTTTACAGCATGACCAGTTTGGCATGTATGCACTGTACAGCAAGAACAAGCCCAAATCTGATGCTCTGCTAGCCAGCCATGGAAACATATTTTTCAAGGTAAGCATTTCACATGATCCACAACATTTTTTCATTTAAACTGGACTTAGAAAACCACTACAAAGAATTATATTAACCAGTTTTCTACTTTAATGTCAGTGGAGTTGACCGTGATCTGTTGGAATTTGTCAATTTAAAAAGTCATGTTTGATGATGTTGCACTTATGGCAAAGGCTTTGAAATTTAGTTATTTGCCTTTTTCTCTCTCTTTTAGTAGACATTGACGTTGTTTTGTTATACTGCAGCTTCCTTGAAATAAATGATTTGTTTGATGTCTTCTCAACATATAGTTGACTTCTGCTTTTGTTATTTTAGCACAAGCAACTACAGCTGGGTGATAAAATGAATCTTGCTTCTTACCTGTTGAAACCAATTCAACGGATGAGCAAATATGCCCTGTTATTGAAAGACTTGATCAAAGAATGCAGTGAAATTCAGGAGCAAGAGCTTAACTACCTCAGAGCAGCAGAAGAGATGGTTAAATTTCAGCTTCAACATGGTAATGACTTGCTGGCTATGGATGCTATTAGGAATTGTGATGTAAGTCCACATTGATGCTTTGATTTCTTTGAAAATGGTACAAATGGAGTAAATTGTGACTATTCATACTTAAGAGAGATTTTTATAAAGTTGCAGATGAAAGACTGTTGAATAAAAGTCAAAATTACCCAGATTGGAATAGGAGCTAGGTAGGGGAGCTGAATTTAGGCCAATACTCAGAAAATGGTATTTAGGCATTTATTGAGAGGGGTTGAAGATAGAAACATTGGAATCATCCATGAATGATGGTAGGGCTACATCTGGACTACAATGTGCAATATTGAGCTGTCTGGTAGAAGGGATATAAAAACCTTGAGTGGTCAACCTAGATTCACCAGGATGACATCAGGAATTTAGAATGGCTCAAACAACTAAAGCTGTATTATCTCAAACTAAGATTGAAGAGAATAATTGATGAAGGCATTCTGAATAGTAAATGATCAACAAGGTTGCTGTAAATAGATTTTTCTACTTGTAGATAAGTCAGTAGTCACAAGGGATATAGTTTCAGATTGGGGCAGTGAGGTGTGAAGAAGTGATATCCCACGGTCATCAGTGTTACAGCTTAATGTGTTTCTAATGTATATAAGGATATGAAAACTAGGTGTAAAACAGTCAGATTTATTGATTAACAAGACTATGGAAAGCAGTAGAAAACAAGGAAGCTGCAAAAGAGATTCCAATCAGCTAGGACAATTGAACTGACGTGAAGTAAGTTAAATTTAAATATTATACATTGGCCAAAAAGAAGTAAAAAATATAAATTTAATAAACAAAGTTTTGAAAAGAGCCTTGAATATATAAAGTGCTTTATTTTTGATGTGGAAAGCATTTAAATAGTTCATTGAACTCTTAAGAAACTATCTGTAGAAGTTAGGCTGACTTTACAATGCATTGATCAAACTACATAAAAACATCATTTGAAAGGGTACAGAGAAGAGCAGCAAAACCTGTTTTCAAGTGTTAAACAGTGATTGAAAAAGCTTTAGCTTTGCATTTCAGAAAGAAGAAGCATGTCCTCATTAAAGTACATAAGATATTAATTATTATGGAAGGGATTGGCTAATAAACTAAAAACAGAGAGTAGGAAATGGGTCATTGGTAGGCTGTGACTAGTATATAAACATAAACAATATAAATCAATTATTTGGATATGGGGAACAAATGTAATATTTCCAAATTAGATGATGATACAAAGCTGAGTCGGAGTGAATGTCTGTATGTGTGTGTGTGTGCAGGGGTCACAGTGGTTAGAGGCATCTAAACCTATTGTGGCCCTTAAATGGCCAATTAATAGCAATTTGAATGCCTCATCCTACCCCTGCCACTGTCTCCTTAGAAGGTGACACCCACGCTTTGTAGATAATCTGGCAGGAGCTGGTGTCAGGCAAAAAGGGAGGGAACATTCTTTGAGGGTCTCCAGTGCCTATGAGTCGCATCACTATCCCCACTCCACAGGTCATAAGCCCTTCCTGCCCTCCATCCAACCTCTGAAGCCCTACTGCTTCATTGGGACTTGCTACTCAAGACCCACTGAAACCTATAATTTGCCTGAAGTCCAACCTCCATTATTCTTCTTTCTTTGGAGACTATCTGTAATGCCTGCACTAGCCACCGATCAGACCTGACACTATTGGGACTACAGCTTTTGGCCTATCAAATTGACTGCTGCTGTCTTAAGGCAGGGCTTCCTCTCCAGATCAGGGCTCTCTTACTGTTATCAAACTTATCCTGTTATCAACCTGCTGAATATTAGTGGCTGCAGGGCAGGCTGTATTAGTGGGATGGCGATACCCAAGTACAATTCAGGTTGTTGGGCAGGAAACTCTGCTAAATTACAATTTCCAGCACACAGTGCTCTGATTCATTTATTGCATACTGTGAATGATTCGATGAATGGAAATGCACTGCATAGCTCATTCATCTTATGCTATGACAGTTGGATACATTCCTCATCCTTAACTACAACATCTGTATCAGTTTTGTGAACATGGAACCACAAAAAGCATTATGCAAAATAACACAATATTTTGCACCTTCTTTCAGGCAGTAAGCAATGCACGAATTTCCCTTGTAATTAATACAAAATAGTGGTGGACTTGAGAGGTACAAATGGCATGAACCCAGCACTATGATTATTCCCTAAAACCATTCTTCGGTATCCATCTTCTATAATCATGCAACTTGTGGAAAGTAGGTGGCACAGTAAATTTGTACATTGTTATTTTACCTGAGGTCTGGATTCTAATCCATTCCAGATTATGCTGCTCCTTCAGATAACTCCAAGTTAAGTGAATGTTAATCGTTTGAATCCAGTGTCTAATGGAAGTGGGACTACAGAAAGAAACTATACAAAATTTATGCAAGAAATCCCAAGGATGTTTTATGAGTAGTTTAAAACGTATTGTAAGTAGGGAAGGAATGCTCTTCAAGGTCTGGAAATTAAAATGTACTGATGATAGTATAACGAGGTTGTTTTACTCTGCATCTGGCTTTATCAGCAATAGTTAAAAAGATTCCCAAAATTTCAAACTGGTTCCATTCATTAGCAGTAGCAATTCACACTGCTGATCACAGAAATTCATGCATATATTTAAATTAACTGATGTGTGTGTTATGCTTCAATTTAATGTGAAGACTGTATTCTGGTTGAACATCTTAAGTAGTTCTTCACCTCTTCAATATTTCAGTGTTTAATGAACTTTAAAAGGGAATTCCTAATATAATGATGTATGATGAAAAAAATGTAGCACCTTTCACAATGTCATAACCTTCCCACTACTTCACAGACAATAAAGTACTTTTGAAGTATATTTGCATCAGTTGGTTAGATGGCTAAAATATAGTGCAGAAGAACACCAGCAGCGTGCGTTGAATCCCTATACTTAAAGTAGTTCTTAGAGTTTGTTTTCTTGCCTTGGTTGCCTTGCCTGTAGAGATATCAGGGCTGAAGCTATGTTTATCAACCATTGGGCAACAAGGACTCTACATAGAAGGCAAGAATGGCTATTTAGGAATCTCAGTAAGTATTCAAACCTTTTAAGGCGTATGTTTTCATCAGTGTCCATTAATACTGTAAGTATTATTAGAAATGTGAATGGAAAACTATTCTTTTTCCAGTATTATTTCATGTTAAATCTGTTAGGTCTTGTGATAGTTAACAAGCAATGAAATTTGATCTTGGGAAACTAAGAACTGAAAAGAACAGCAAACTAAGAGACTATTTCCACAAAAAAGTATACATGTTTAGACATTAAAAATATTTTGAAATAATCTGGTTACAGGAAACTGATGACTTGGCACTGCAAGTAATTTATTTACATCGTATCAAAACAGGTGAACTTGAAGGAGCAAGGTCAATTGGTTCGTCAAGATGAGTTCATTATCTGGTTTGGGCGCAAGAAATACCAGCGACATGTTTTTCTGTTTGAAGACCTCATTCTTTTCAGCAAACCCAAGCGGATTGATGGTGGATTTGATGTCTATATCTACAAACATTCCTTTAAAGTAAGAAAATGAATATATTTCTTACATATAAATGCAGTTCGTTACAAATGTGGGGTTTATAAGGTTATTAAATGTTAAGACAATTAGCTTTGGTTTATATTATAGTTTGGGATGGTATCCTTAAATTTCTTTATCCTAAGGGCATCCTGTATCTTTAAATTTTTGGTAAATGGAGAAGGTTATGTGACATATGGTGGACCATTTCTGACAGCAAACCTGGATGATAAAATGATGAAAAATTAAAGAGAGTCTCTAATTATATTCCTGAGATGGAAGTGCTGGATGTTTCCACCTGGGGACAATGGCAGCTGTTCCGAGTTCACAGTGAGAAGACCCTAAGTCTTCTAAGACCTAGAAAGGTGTTTTTATATCAAGTTGTAGTGGAATCTGTCCCTTTTCACAGATGAAAAGGACTGGCGATCCGAGATAGTTGTTTAACACTTCTGATTGGATTCAAGGTGAAAGTGTTTTCTTGTTGCCATGAAAAGGAGTGTCGAGAAAATGATTTTGAAATCAGACTGCAGGTTTCTTTATCAACTCAGACATATTGCAAATGTAAAAGCCAATTCTGTATAATCTGTAGCTGATTGAGAGTTGGACGGCAAAAGAATAACGTTATCCCCACCTGCCCTAAAACAGGGAAAATGCTGACTGTTATTTATCACGTGTAATATGGGTGGTAGCTCATGCTCAATTTGAAAATGGAGGCTGTGAGAAGTTGGAATTAACCCATGCTGAAAGGTTTGGTTGGCTGGAGTTAAGGAGAGAATCCTGGGAAGTCTCTTGTAGTGGAATGTAGAATTGGAAAAGGAAAAGAACAGAAGCAAACCCTTGAACGCTGTGAAAGATTTTGGATTGCTTTTAGGAGATTGGACGTCTATGTAAGAGACTAGGTAATGCAACAAAATTGGGGTTTTCAGTTGTCATCAAAATTAGAAAGAGCAAACTCTGTTCAGTAGTTTAAAGCTACTGGCAGTAAGTTAGTGATGTTGTACAACAACAATGTCCTGTTTCCTAATAATTTTAATGGAAATTGAAAACCTTTCTCAAAACAATTTCTTTTTTTGGATGAATATAGGTTATCAACAGCAACAAAAATAGAAATTGCTGGAAAAGCTCAGCAGGTCTGCCAGCATCTGTGGAGAGATGGAGGAAGGGTCATTCAGCCCGAAATGTTAACTCTGATTTCTCTCCACAGATGCTGCCAGACCTGCTGAGCTTTTCCAGCAATGTCTATTTTTGTTTCTGATTTACAGCATCCGCAGTTCTTCTGGTTTTGTTTTATTGGTTATCAACAGGACGTCTTTAGTATAAAATGCAATTAATGCTATTGATGAACAATTGAATAGCATGCCAATGAACGCAGTTGGTTAAGAGAAACGATGCATCGTTTGCCAAACTCGATATAAACTATATAAATTGAGTATCAATAAATGTTGTTTAACACGTTTTTCTTTTGTAGACAGCTGATATAGGCTTAACAGAAACTAGTGGTGAAAGCGGTGTACGTTTTGAAATCTGGTTTCGTCGACGGAAATCCAATGATACGTATGTTCTTCAGGCGAGTTCAGAAGAAGTAAAACAGGCCTGGACAAAAGATATTTCAAGCATCTTATGGCAGCAAGCGACCAGAAATAAAGGTAATAAATTTACAAAGATTTGTTATTCTGGGTTAGTATTTTCACTGTGAGCTTTGCCAAAGCGTTCCTGTTTTGTCTGAATAATAACATCAACAACCTTAGCTTACATTCATTCAGATACCTTTAACATAATGTTCCAAGGCAGGTTTTACAGCAAAACTAGTAAGTAAATAACAAAAAGGTACACATGCTGGAAATCTGAAATTAAAACAAAATACACATTTCCAAATAGAGCACGTGCCAAATTTCATATTGGCTAAAGACATTCTGCTTTTTACCCATACTTGAAGTGAATACTGTGTCCTTTGCAATTAATAAGGAAACTAGTACCCATTTCAACAGAGTGTGGAGCTGCAGGAACATAGCAGGTCAGGAAGCATCAGAGGAACAGGAAGGTTATCACTTTGGGTCAGGACCCTTCATCAGAACTAATGCTGCTGACCTGCTGTGTTCCTCCAGCTCCACACTGTATTGACTCTGACTCCAGCATCTGCAGTTCTTGCTATCTCTATGCACCTATTTCAAGTTCCTGTTGCAAAACTAGTTGCAGAGGAAAGGTTTGGCTCTGGGAAGGAAAACAGTAAAGGACTCCATACGATTACCATCCTAATAAGTGCTGTTCCAAATCAGTCTGCTATTTCCAGTGTCACCCCAAACCCCAGTCATTGCTTCCAAACACGAACCTATGATGTCTCTTTTCTAAAAACGGAATGTCTCCCCCAAGTCCACACTCGTTACTGACTTGCCTGGCTTTTTCACATTGTATCACTTTTAGTGCAACATTAGATACCTAATATCAAGAGTTCTCCTCTTCTCACAACAGAATGATGTTCCCAAATTTCCCCACAAAAATTTGATGTCAGTAGCGAAATAGCTGTTCAGAGCCCGGCATCCCATCACCAATCACCCTTTATTCATAACTGCATAGCCTTTGACAATAGCACCACCTCTCACTGAGTCAGGCATTCAGAGTCCTAATATCCCTGACATTCACCCTTTTATGTCAGCCAGGTCTCCCTGATTGGACCAGATTATCAGCCTCAATCAGGGAACTCATTCTCTAAGGTCCAGCTCGCTGACCTTATTACAATCCATACAAGTAGGACTTGGACTCACCATTCAGATTAGAGATGTTGCAGTGGTGAAAGCTGTATGACCATAAAGTTGAATGTTATGGGCTTTGAAGCCATCTGTTTCAGACATAAGATGGGTTTTGCACAGCCTCTTCAGCCTAAAGTGGGGTGGCAGGAGTCAGTTGTTTTTTATTGTGGATATTGTTCACCTGAATGAGAGTGTTAAACTGATGTAGTTCATATCTACTACTATATGATGAATATCTGTTTCAGAAGTACGAATGCAGGAAATGGTGTCTATGGGAATTGGTAACAAACCATTCTTGGATATCAAACCAAGTGAGGCTGCAATCAATGATCGAGCCATCGATTATTTTATGAAGGGCAGAGGTACATTTTCTGAATTAGTTTAGTGACATGGGCCCATAACCTTGATAGACAAAGAAGCAGGTTGCAAATTATACTAAATTGAACCTTAAAACAACTTTTTTGAAAATTCATATCAATATGAATGCACAGTCTCAGTAAAAGATTGGAGAATAGGCAACTATGAAACAAAATCCCTGTGATCTGTTATTAAAATCTACACTTGCTGTAGTGCTTTTTAACAGCATGTATATTTGGATATTGATAACTCTCATCAGATTTCTATCCAGAAATCAATACACTAATTTATCCAGTTTTTGCGTTGTTCAAAGAAAACTCAGTCTTTAACAGAGATTTCAAACAAAGTATCTTACTTCTAACTCTTTGAAGTATTATTTAAGCAATCGTTGATTTTTATTGGTAATTGTCCATTCTTCATACATTTGAGAATCTTGCAATTCTTATAGGAGCACGAACCAGAGCTTCAATTGCAGTCTCCTTATTCGACCACACAAATCCATTTAGAAGGACAAAGAATGTTTCAAGTAACGGCAGTCCCTCAGCAGGTTGTCCATCCTCGTCCTCACTTTTGGGGCCACTGAATCTCCATATGTACACTAACCAGGCATTGCTCTCAGGGGTGAACACTGCATTGACCAACGAACGACCATTTGATGTCAACACTTGCATTGAGGAGGATGAACTGGAACATGAAACAAGCAGCCAACCCTCCATGAGTAAGTGTAACATCTCTAATAAACAGGAAATAGTATGTTCGGCATGGACTGGTTGGACCGAAGGGTCTGTTTCCGTGCTGTATGACTCTATAATAATAATAAAAATAAATCCTAGCATATTTTTAATATTAGTTGTTGACTTCAGTGGAAAGTTAAATTGAGTGGGGTGTAAAATCATCCAGGCTGGTGGAATAGATTGAAATTGACATCGTTTAGCAGGTGTAAATTCAGTATTCCATTAATCCATTCAGTTTTCCACCCTCGCCTCGGATTAGTTTAAAATTACTCCCATTGTGTCTTTACTTTCAAAAATTGTCCCTTATGATTAATGACATGATGCCAAATTTAAATTACAACCAATACATAATTGATATAATGAAATACCAGTACCAATTGTTTTGAGAGCTCTTTGTAGGTTAAACTCAATTCCTTTACTCCTCCTGTATTTCTCACATGTGAGAGTATATACATTAACAGTCTTCCTAAATACACACACATTGTGCAGTGCAGTACAGGAATGGCCTTAGAATACTTTATTTCTTGGAAAAGATTGTCGCTTCTTTTGTCTACTGCTGAGACCCATTAACCCAATATGTGGAATATTGAGGTGCAAAATGATGTCCCATCATGGCAGGTCCAAGTATATTAATGTTGACTGAAAAAAGATAAAAATCTGCAGTTGCTGGAAATCAGAAACAAAAACAGAAATTGCTGGAAAAGCTCAGCAGGTCTGGCAGCATCTATGGAGAGACAGCAGAATTAACTTTTGAGTCCAGTGATCTTTTTCAGCACTGTTCTGTCATCATATGAGCTGCCACCACAAACAACCCATTGTGAGCTACTAAGGGACCCCATTAACAGCTATCAATTTTTCCACACTGACCAATACCCTTTCTTTTTTCTGCCCAGTCACTGTTTTCTTTCTCTTTCTCTCTCTCTCTCCTTTCCTTCCCTCCCCCCGGGCTCCATCTCTACTTATCATTTACTCCTCACTTCTACCCTCTCACCCCACCCCATCTTCATCACATACACCAACCTTTTCCTAGTTTTGACTCCACAGATGCTGCCAGACCTGCTGAATTTTTCCAGCAATTTTTGTTTTTGTTTCTGATTTCTAGCATCTGCAGTTCTTTGGTTCATGTTGTTTAAAAAACAAATCTCGGTTAATCTCCTCTGTACCTCTTCCAGTTCAATCACATCTTTCCTACAGTGTGGTGACTACAGCTGTACATCGTACTTCAGCTGCAGCCTAACCAAATTCTGTACATCTCCAACATGACCTCCCTGGCTCTTATAATCGGTGCCTCAACTGAATGTTTTTGCAAGTATTCTAAATGCCTCCTTTTAACACTATTAACCTGTCCTGTCACCTTCAGGGACCTGTGGACAAGATCCTAAGATCCCTGTGTTCCTCTGAGCTTCCTAGTGTCCTGCCTTTCATATTGTACTCCCTTATCTTGTTCTTCTTTCCAATGTGCATCAGTTCACATTTGTCAGGGTTAAATTTCATCTGCCTCTGATCTGCCCATTTGACCAAATCATTTATATCCTCCTGTAACCTAAGACTTGAAAGCAGAGTCACTGGTAAACAGGATAATGAAGAAGGCTTTTGGTACGCTTGCCTTTATTGGTCAGTGCATTGAGGACAGGAGTTGGGAGGTCATGGTGCGGCTGTACAGGACATTGGTTAGACCACTTTTGGAATATCACGTTCAATTTTCGTCTTCCTGCTGTAGGAAAGATGTTGTGAAACTTGAAAGGATTCAGAAAAGATTTACAAGAATGTTGCCAGGGTTGGAGGGTTTGAGATATAGAGAGAGGCTGAATAAGCTGGGGCTATTATCCCTGGAGCATCAGAGGTTGAGGAGTGACCTTGAACAAGTTTATAAAATCATGAGGGTACATTGCCAAGGTCTTTTCTCTACGGTAGGGAGTCCAAAACCAGAGGACATAGGTTTAAGGTGGGAAAGATTTTTTTCAGGCAGAGGCTGGTGCGTGTGTTGAATGAGCTGCCAGAGGAAGTAGTGGAGTAAAGGACATCTGGTTGGTATATGCATAAGAAGGGTTTAAAGAGATATGGGCCAAATGCTGTCAAATTGGACCAGATTAATTTAGGATATCTGGTCAGCATGGATGAGTTGGACCGAAGGGTCTGTTTCCTTGCTGTACAACTCTATGACCTTCCTCCTCACTGACTACCCAGCCAATCTTTGTGTCATTGCAAACTTATCTCTCTTCCCGCTGAACGTTCTCGTCCACATCATGTATGAATGTCATGAATAATAAGGTACCCAGCAGTGATCCCTGTGGAATGCCACTGCACACTGGGCTGCAGTCACACAAATAGCCTTCCACCACCCTCTGTCTCTTGCTACTAAACTGATTTGGATCCAGTGAGATTTTATGTTCTTTAACAGTTTCCCATTATAGGAGTTTGCCATAGGCCTTGTTGAAATCCATACAACCTACGTCAACTGCACTGTACTCATCTACACACTTGGTCAATTTCTCGAAAAATTCAGTCCAATTTGTGAGGCATAACCTCCCTCTGACAAAACTATGCTGATTATCTCCAATCAAACTTTGCCCCTGTAAGTGGAGATTAATTTTCCAATTCACTGTTTTCTTCAATCATTTTGCTGCCCCTCCATGTGAGACTCACTAGTCTGAGATTTTCTGCTGTATCTCTATCATCTTTCTTGAAAAGTATTAACCACATTAGCTGTCCTGCAGTCCGCAGACACCTCCGCTGTGGCTAGGGACAGTTTAAGAATTTGGGTCTTCTTTGGTCTCCTCTAGCAATCTGGGATACAGCTCATCCAGACGTGGGAATTTTTAAACATATCAATACCTCCAATATATAGGTCTCAGCAAGAGAGCCTCAGCTTACCTTTCTTATCTCAACTTCTGAAGAGACTGGTGATTGGAGACAGCTATCCTGCACAAACCAAGTCATGACTGAAATCTGCTACATCCACTTGTTTAACCTCAAAAAAAAGAACAAGGACTGCATTGCCTATGCCTTACTCTGACTCTTTACTGTTATGTACCTGGTTTTTTCCAGGCTGATGTTAGACATATCGTGCAACACCTTGCAGTTTGCCATATACCGTTGCCTAAAGGAAATCATGAAGTTCCATAACTATTTGCTGTAGGAGAGCTTCAATCTCGTTTACTTTTGTCAGAGACAGTCAGGCAAAGTGAATTTGAAGATCTGCTTGGATTGCAATTGCGACACAACAGACTTGTGAGGAAAGTAATAGGTTTAGATATAAAAGGGGCAGTAGCAATCTGGATATAAAATTTTCTGAGTGATCAGAAACAGAGAGTAGTGGTCAGTGGATTTTTTTTGGGGCTGGAGAAAAGTTTGTCGTGGAGTTCTCCAGGTGTTGGTACTAGGACCCTTGTTTTTTGTGAAGTATATTTGATATGGATCTTGGTGTGCAGGAGACAATTTCAAAGACTGCAGATTGTAACCTGCTGGGAGGACAGTGTGGAATTCCAAAAGGACATTGACAAGTTTGTGAAGTGGGCAAATTGGTGCAGATGAGGTTCAATGCGGAATAGTGTGAGGTGATACACTTTAGTATGAAGAACATTGAATGACAATATAAAATAGGGGGTACAATTCTAAAGGAGTTCAGGAGCAAAGAAACCTGGGTCTATATGTACTCAGATAATTGAAAGTGGCAGGACAATTAGCGCGCAGTCAATACAGCATACAGTGGCCCTGGCTTTATTAATAGGGGCATAGAGTACAAGATCAAAGAGGTGATGTTGCACGTGTATAAAGTACTTGTTAGACCTCAGCTGAATTATTTTGTGCAGTTGTGGGTACCACATAATAGGAAAGATGTGAATGCGTTGGAGAAAGTACAGAAGTGATTTATAAGAATATTTCCAGAAATGAGAATCTGTAGAGGTTTTCAAAATCATGAGCAAGCTGGATAGAGTAGATATTGAGAAGCTTTTCCTGCTTATAAAAGGAACAGGAACAAGATCTTAAGTAATATGCAAAGAAGCAAAAGTGATGTGAAAAAAAGCTTTTTCACACAGCAAATAGTTATGGTATGCCCTATGGAAATGTAGTGGAGGTTCAGTTGTGGCATTCAAGAGGGTATTGAATGACTATTTAAATGTAAGTAGTGTGCTGGGTATGTGAAAAAGCACAAGAGTGGCACTTGGTAATGATGCAGATTTGAAGAGCTGGTGCAAGTACAATGAGCCAAATGGCCACCTCCTATGCTGTAACACTTCTTGGTATATTCCCAGTTAAAGCCTTAGCCTGCAGGTGTTTAAGTATTTTTCATGCTCGATTACTAGAAAGTTTTGATTTGATTAATGTTCTTCCAATTCCTTTTCAGCAACTGAAAGCTCAGAATCTTCTTTTCACTGTATGTCTGGCAGTGGCTCTAGTGGATCTGATAGTGGCTGTGTCTCCAGTCTACTTCCTGAAAACCTGTCTGAAGATACTGGATCTCCTTCTGATATATCAGCCTCATATTCTTTCCCAGGATCCAAACACAGTTCTAGTACCATCACTCCACTGGAAGACAAACCTCGTTTCTCTAACAGCCAGTATATTTCAGCGGTATGTAGCCCCTATTCATACAGCTGATGCCATTTTGTAATTACATTTTCAAGTTTTAGACATCTGCGAGTTATACAGACACAGCCTACAATGAGTAATATAAAAACAAGAGCATGCTGTAAATATTCAGGTCCAGGAGCATCTGTGCAAACAGACAACAGTTCATGTTTCAGGTTAGCAAGTGACCTTTAATCAAAATTGAAATAAATTAAAAATAATCAGTTTATACACAAGGATGGAGGGAGGAAATATTAGAAGAGCAGGTCTGTGTAAGATGGAGGGCAGAAATGGCTGAATTGGTAGGAGAATTGGTGGTCCAAGGTAAAAGATGGTAATAATATAAAGAAACAAAAGATGAGTCTCGACAAGTTAAAATGGCAGAAGCAAAAACATTACCAGTATCTGCTGTCCAAAAGATAGGAGCAGTAACTTACCAGTATCTGCTGTCCAAAAGATAGGAGCAGTAACTATGACCTAAATTTATTGAGTCCAAAAGGTTGCAAAATTCCTAATCAACAAATGAGATACTGCTGCAGTGAAGCTCAGCAAACAGTTTAGGAGGCTGACAAGACCTGAGGCTCAGAGTTATGCTTGTGAACTGAATAGAGGTGTTCAGCAAAAAGAGCATCTATCCTGTGTTTGTATTCTACGCTGCTAAGACAAGAAGTGGAGTAAGTAGCAATGTCTCTGAATGTCTGGCATGGTGCTAAAGAACTGCTAATGCTGTGCCATTTTTGAAAAGGGGAGTAAGGGCTAGACCTAGTAATCACACATCAGTTAGCCTAGTTTCAGTGGTGAACATATTTAGTGAGAAAAAAATTGAAGGACAATATTAATCACAATTTTGAAACAGATTAATCAGGGAAAGTCATATCTGGTTAATACAATTGAATTCTCTGAGGATATAACAAGGCAGGTTGATGATGGAGTGTAATTGATGTAGCCCACATGAATTTCAGCAAGGATCCACATCGCAGACTGATCAGAAAGGTAAAAGTTCATGAGATCTGAGGAAAATTGAAAAATTGCATTCAGAATTGTGGTTGGCAGGTACAATTCTTTAAAATAGTGTGAACATTATATAATTATCATCACTAAGTTTATTAACTATTTGTCTTGCCAGTTGCAGAAGGATCCTTCTGCAAATCATTACCTCCTACTTAAATTTTTTGAAATCTATAAGTGCTTTTGACATCCGGGCCATTTATGTTGTCCTAAGACATGTGGACAGTTGTTGTGACCCATACCAGCTTATGCAAGCAGTTTCACCAGCTATGCAAGCTTGAACTGCGGGTTTCAGAACTCAAGCAGTGGCTAGAGTCATTGAAGTGCATGTGTGAAGCGGAGAATTATGTGGATAGCATGTTCAAAGAGGTGGTCACACCACATAGTAGAAGTAAGCCTGCAGATAAAGAATGGGTGATGGCCAAGAAAAATGAACAGGTAGTCCACAAGGCCCCAGAGATCCCACTCACTAACTGATTTTCCATTCTGCATACCAGTGAGGGTGATAAATCCTTGGAAGAGTTCAGCCATCAGCGTCACTCCAGGGTGATTTGTAGCCTCCCTGGGGCTAGGGCCATGGCTGTTACAGATCTTCTGCAGTACATTTGTCTCAGTAAGGGCAAGCACCAGAGGTCGTGTTCCATATTGTACTAACAGCATGGGTAGGAGAGGGAATGTGTCATGCAATTGGAATTTAGGGAGTTAAATAGAAAATTGGCAAACAGGACCTCTAAAAGCCTCTGGATTACTACCTGTGTCATGTGTAAGTGAGTACAGAAAAAGGAAGATAAGACAGATAATTGCATGTGTGGAAAGATGGTGCAGAAGGGAGAGCTTTAGCTTCCTGGGACACTGGGACCAGCTCCGAGGGCAACAGTACCCGTACAAGCCAGAAAGGTTGAACCTGAACAGACTGGGACTAAGTTCTTGCAGAGTGTTTTGCTATTGCTGTTGGGAAGGATTTGAACACCTCACAAGGATGTGGGAGCCAGGAGACAATATTAGAAGGGTAGACAACATGTTTGGAGAGGACAAGTCAGAGTAAGGTAGAAAGTAATGTAGACTAAATCAAGGATATACTGTATGTTAGTGGAGCACACAGTATAATTAGTAAGATTGGGGAGTTACAGGCACAGTTTGCATTTTGGATCATGATTATGTGATGATACTGGAGACTGGCTTAAGGAAGGGATGTCAAATAATTATGGTTATAAGGTGTTCGGAAAAGATAAAGAAAGAAAGGAGGAAAATTTTTAGATAAGGAGACCATTGCAGTACCATAGAAAGCAGATATTAAGAGCGTTCAAGGACAAAATCGATTTGGCTAGAACTAGGGAATGAGAATGATGCAATTACGTTGCTTAATGTAATCTATAGGCCACGAGCTAATGGAAGCATATGAAATAACAGCAAGATGTAAACAACATGTCACAGTTACATTGGTGGATGTTAATTACCCTTGTATCAACTGGGATAGGGTTAGCGTAAGGGGCTGGAGAGACAATGTAGGAGAATGTCCTACAGCAGTATGTGTCCAGTCCAATAAGAAAGGAAGCACTGCTAGACTTGGTTCTTGGGAATGTAGTGGGGCAAGCAGATGAAATAACAGTGGAGGAATATCGAAATGAGCCTGATAATTGTATTATAAAGTTCAGAGTACGAATTTTCATCTGACAACATGGATTTCAATATGAGCTAATCTGATTGATTAGGATCAAAGGATAGTGGAAGAAGCAGTTGAACAATGGGCTACCTTCAAAGAGGAGGTGGTTTGGGTGCAAACAAGTTATATTCCTTCAAAGGAAAAGTTAGGACAAACAAATGCAGAGCTCCCTGGCTGACAGAGGAAGTGGAATGTGATTATGACAGATGTTTGGTAACAAATACAGTTGAGATCAGACACTTCAGTTACAAGGAAATATTGGAGAAATTGGGACTTTTTTTGTCAGAGAGGAGAGGACTAAGAGGAGATTTGGTAGAAATTTTCAAAGTCATGAAAAGTCTGGACAGAGCAAATAAGGAGAAACTGTTCCCATTCATAAACAGATTAAAAACCAGAGGACAGAATTTTGAAGTGTTTTGCAAAACAGACAAAATACTACACAGCAAGAATCTGAAATGGACTGTTTGGTAATGTGGTAGAGGCAGGTTTAATTGAGGCATTCGAGAGGGCATTGAATGATTATTTAAATAAAAACATGCAGGGTTACAGGGAAAAGACAAGAGATTGGCACTAAGTTAAAATGATCATAGTGACAGCACAAATAAGATGAGCTGGATGGTATCTTTCTGTGCCATAACAATTCTGAAATACTGTTTAAAAGAGATGAAGGAGTCATACTTCAGCTCATAATTTAATTCTTGTCAATTCAGCATTGCACCTAACACGAATGTGCTTTTTCTGTTTTTCTCAAACAATGTACTGTCCAGTTCAAAATGCTACCCAGAACCTTTGTATATTTTTAGTCTTTTCAAATATAGCATTGTCAACTCCTTCTAAAGCTTCAAAGAAACTAATTGGATACTTGCAATTTCTGCGTTTTTACAAAATTTTCCAGGAAATTGAAGTGTATCTGACACATCATTCTGGTCTAAACCCATTTTGTCTCTTTTTATATTATTAGATATTGCTGAGTTAATTATCCAGGTATTGATGTGAAGCTAAAGAGCCTGGATTTGCCAGCAGATTTCACAAGATATAATTTTTATTTACATTTTAGAAAAGTATGCTACTTTTAAATATGTTTCTTTCTCGTAGTAAGCCAAACAATGTATTTGGACAGTTAAGGGACAGACCTCTAATTTAGCATCCCTTAACATGATTGCTATCACTGTAATTTGATTTTGAGTATGAAATTTACATGATTAGAGAGCTGAAATATCCAATTAATTTGGGTGAAAGAGATTGGGATTGTGATTTACTATTTTGCCAGTAGACTTGTGTTAAAAACGACACAGTTGCATGAGCTCAAGAGTTGGATTCCATGTCACTCTGTGCATCTGCTCTGTCAATGCTACTTTGCACCACTTAGTGCCAACCCACATGTGAAGAAACTGATGGTGTACAACTTAATTTCATTCCTGCTTTGCTTTTAGTGTTGGTTGTTAACAGCATTTGCTAACCTATCATTCTGCTTTTCCTCAGCAGAAATCAGATCAAATTACCATAAACCCATCTACAATGGTGTAAGCATAGCTGTGCTTTCTGTCCTGCCTTGTCTAAGTAAGTGAGGTGTTGCTTTCTGGCTTTATTTGTTCAGTACTTTTCCTCTTTAACACTCTCTTACCTTTGATTTACCCAAGCCTGACTGCTTGCTATTTCCCTTAAATACTTTCCATGTTGTTGCAACTCACGTAGAAGTCAAAAACCACAAAATTCCCAGTTTCTGAGTGATCAAGAATTGTTTGTTTATTAAAGCAACAGAACTTTGTTTACCACAATGATGATAAACTTTTTCCCTGGGGATTGTGAGTTTGTAGAATTCTGTTTCCCCAGAGATCAGTGGTGACAGAATCATTGAATATTTTTAAGGCAGAGAGGGTTATCAATTGGAAATTCCTGTGAAAAGTTCTGTCACCAGGAATGCTTAATTTTATGTACAAATTGCATCACTGATAAAATTAAGAGAGCTAATGTGTCCGAGTTATTATGATCCCAGTTGTTGGAATTACTGGACAAATCAGATCCTGGAGTGAAATCTGGCTTGATAAACTATAAGTTTTACTTCTCCTTTTATCTGTTTTAGAGTCATTGAACATATTTGTAAGAGGCTCCAATCTACTTTTAAGAAAAAATTTAAATGTTCATTACACAAGTGAAAAGATACAAACTATAGTATAGTAAACAAGAATTATTCGAGCAATATCATAAATATTTGAAAGAAATAGCCATCCTTAAATACCTTAAAGACACTCAAACCTCAGTGAAGGGTCATCCCTGTTGCAAGCCTAAAGCTTCTTGTTTAGATGGCACAGTTATAATCAGTTTCCTTTAGGCAATTTCTTTGTGTTCACTTAATGCTACTTTCTTTTATTATTGAGATTCTTAAAACAAGCTGCTAACAACTCACTTAATGTGGTTCTGTAAACATACACCTTCAATACCTTGACAACAAGGTGCAGAGCCTTCAATACCTTGTAGGATGTCTTCCACTCTGATACTTTCACAGCTTTTTTCTTAGGATATATCCCAGACTTAGGGACCTCTTCTGTCTGCATGAACCTGCTTCTGGTCATTTTTCCTCTTTGCTTTTCTGGGTTGTAAACATTTGAGTCAACAAACATGGTGGCTTGTTAGTCATGTGACTTCTTGTAAATATTGTTTTGAATACTATTCAAACTGACTTTTTAACTTTTTTTTCAAAAAAGTTGACCTTCACAAAACTGAAAACTAAAATCAATTTTTTCCACTTTAGCACCCAGATTTCCAAATATATTACAAGCCTTTGTTATTATTAAAAGCAAGCTTGCTTCTAAAATCATATCTTTTGTTTCCTTGCACATTTCAAGCAGAATTTTAATAGCTTAAATTGTTTACAGCACCTGAAATTATGGGTAAATCAAATAAATAAGCTTAGGATCAATCAGAATGGAAGTTTCTATTATGTAAAAAGTAATAAGGGTTTTTTTTTAATGATTGTCTCAGTATAGTTACTAGTGATTGATTTTTCATAGTACAAACTAGTCCGAAATTGATACCCTCTGTAGGAAATGAGAATATCACACTGGCACAATAGTGGACCTCTCCTGGGATAGGATTTACCCTACACCTGGACAAAGTAGTTGGAGTTATAGCCCTCCTCTAAAGAACTATATTGCCTGCAATTGGAATTTTTTTTTACACCCACCAGTAGTCCTCACTTTGAGCAGAAAATTAATCAACTTAGTTTTGGTAGTTTTTTTTGTGATATTTACTGCATTGTTTTAATGTGTATTTTCCATTAGGTTTGACACATCTTTGGTATTCTGCATGTTATGTGAAGACACGTGTAACCCTTAAAGAGCCATTGAAGAGTAGAACCATCAGCTTTCCACATACTTTGCACATAACACCAAAACAGAATGTGATGTGGTACTTACTAGAAATTTTTTGTGCCGTGATCGTATTTGGAAGTCTATGTGGCTGAGCAGCTTTGACCATTGGACATTGAAATCTATTTTTCCTTGCAGTTCATATATTTAGCCAATTATATGACATTGCTATTAGCTAATGAGTTAATAACATTTGCCCAAACTGTAAATATTAGTTACCATTTCCTTGCAGATCTTGTGTTTTTTTGATCAAACTTTTGAACAATTTACATAGGCATTGATTGTTAGCTATTTCTAGTGCGTTGGGGTACTTGATTAAAATTGTTGAAAAAGGGTTCCTTTCACAAAATAAAACATTAATTGCCACATTGGCTAAGGGTAGCCTATTGACAAGATGATTTGGTGAGACTAACGAGATACTGAAGACAGAGGAGTTTTGCAGTTCCTGTTTGACAGTTAAATGTAGTGCATTTATTTCACTAAATATTTGTTTCTGTAAATAATATATTTGGCACAAGTGGTGCTGGGTTTATTTTGGGTAAGAAAAATAAATTTAATTTTTTTCTGATACTACTTAATTAAATAGGGAAATCACTTAAGTGCCGTTGATAATTTCATGCAGTGAGAGAAAAGTTTGCATTTGCTGTCATGTTGTTTAATTTGCTTCTATACATGGGCATTTTCAATATTTAATAAACATGACCAGTTTTGTTTCTAGTTGTGATCATTATTCACAAATCTTGAACAAATAATATTTCATTTGATAAAATTGTTGGATTAAAAGAAGAGTGGACAAATTAACAAAGCAATAACTTTATAAAATGTTTATTTAAGCTTACAAGGTTTGAACTATAAGAACCTATGTGGGTTGACATAGAACAAGTATTGCTGCTTGCTGTGCAACCATTGTTCACAGAGTGAAATATAATTAATATTTATTACAGGAAGATTCTGCATACCAGAATTAGAGCCATATGTTTTCTTAATGTGGCTACATGCTGAACAACCCTGTAGAGCTCAGCCTCTGTTCAAAACAAAAGGGTTTGGCATGGTTGTCCCATTTGGACTTCTTCTTAGACAGAAGACTGCTACCAGCTGCATATTGTTTCTCTGCTTTATGTACTCAAGATAAACTCAGTATGCCATTGAGGAAGCCATAACAAAGTTCTGGCTGAAGTATGAACAGGCTGGCACAATTATCTTGGATACCTATAGTATAAGCTCTCTGTGAATAAAGGGATGCATAGCATGACAGGGGTGGGGGTGGCTCTAGCCTTCAATCATCTGGCACCAAGAACTCTAGATAAATCCTGCTAGTCAATAAAAATCAAGTTCATTTCCATCCAGAATACAGCTCATCAAAGCAGCAGTTTTGACAAGCAAGACATTAACTTCTCTTCAAATAATGTGGACTGCAACTCATATAGCAGGAGCTGTGGTCATCTTCTCCACAAAAGGCAAGTGTGACCATAGCTCTACATGGGCATCTTCCTGACATGCCCAAATTCTTTAACATACCTTTTTCTGCAGCTTAAGGCTTCAGGAATCTCCAAGTCTCGCATTCTGATAGATGTAAAAATGGGATCATTTCAGAGTTAAAAATAAAGAAAGACCATTTGCCTTAAGCAAAATGTCCCATTCTAAATTCAAGGTACAGAGGCAAGCATAGATAATATAATCGAGTTGTTAATGCCTGCAAAGTTGCATCATTCAACATGTAGCATATTAAAACAGCAACTAAATCTCTTACATAAAGTTAACACTAAAGCTTCTGCTACACAAATATGCTGAATGGTTTTCATTGAGAGGCAAGTACACTCTAAATTGCAAGTTTTAACATCAAATTTTCACTTATAGTTGGTTGTTTATACTGCCAAATTGTCATAACATCCAACAGATAGTCATCTCTAGAAGCTGCAAGTCTAAAAAAACTTCTTCAAACTATTAATCTGTTCTCTGACCCAAACACCAATGTATTTAGAACTTAACTAAAATTGCATGTTTTTCTGCAAAAGTAATGACCTCTTTATTTTGCAAGTTTAGCAAAACTCATATTTATGTGGCCAAATTAAAAATTACATTTAATTTGTACAAAATACATGTTCAAACCAATCTTGTGGAAAAACTGGTTGGGATCAGTGTTTTGTAATTTGTTATTAAAAATGATTTTATTTGTGGTCTATGTGTGATTCCACAGTGATGATAAAAGAGGGTGTGAGCCAACTGGACTGATAATAATTACATTAACCATAAAATGTTTTTCAGATCTCCATCTCTTGAAGCCCAGCTTTCTGAACAAACAATCTGGCATTAAATAGATTACTGTTCAAGTTATACTGATATTTGCCATGAACCTTTAAAATATTGATAATCATTGTAGACAATATTTGCTATGAAATCAGTAACATTAGGTTCAAATTCATTTCTGTTGAGTTTTTTTCTAATTAGTTTCCTAACACAGGAAATGAGACAGATTTATAATACCCTTTCTTCAACAATAGTTCCATGCAGTGGCTATACTTCCAAGCAAATGGCAGTGTCAACTGAAAAACACAAACACATGCAATGTTTATGTATCAATTACATTTTAAGAACAGAAAGCTGGTAGAACAATATTTTTTCCGATAAAGCAAGCTGAGTTAATTTCCTTGTTTAGGTTCTATAACCACTGTAACAAAATACTTTAAAGTAGATAAAAGATATCTGATCGATAACCTGACCTAAAATATTGGACTAGCAGACCTTGATTGGTGGGTGGAAAATGTAAATTCCAGTGGACTTGTCATCTGTTAGCTCTTCTGCACTTTCACCAGTGGGCCTGTAAGCCAGTTGAGGCTTACCACCACTAGAATTTAAAGTTGTAGCAGTGCAATTCCATGCCAAGTGTTTAGACCCACACCAAGCATCAGCCAACAGGTTTCCCTGCATACAAATGGCAGGCAGGGGTTGTCCCTCCTTGACAGCACTTCCCTGGCAACAAGGCCCCCAAATATTTAACATTTCGACTCAGCCCCAAGTGCTATAGTGGCAATGGCTAATGGTACATTTGCTTGGCCAACAGCTCTGAGGTGAGACTTCACGGTCATAACTGTGAAAATGAACATTTGTTTACATACACAAGATTGATGAAATATCCGTGCCACCAGTGAGTGACTGCAAAAGGTTTTTTTTTTCCCCTCTGACTACAAATAGGTACAACCCTGACATCGACAGCTGGGTTAGAAAATGCTGACTGCTACATCCTGCTGATTGTAAAGATTTTGGCAACTCCTGGGAATTTAGTTGCAGGTGCACCCTACTCAGCCTGAGCTTCTCCAGGTAATAGTCACTGGTAGAAAGGAGTTAAGGGCAGGTCAGGACCGAGATCTCTTGTTCCAAGATGAAGCCTTCAAGGTGCTTGGCTGTCACTCCTCCTCGCTTTGGATGCCTGCTGGCTCTACCTAAGAGGAAGGGGGACCCTGGAAAGAGGTGAAGGAGCTTTGTTCCCCTCTCTCAATTACATTGATAAGCAGCACCCATGATTAGAGCAAAAAAAAGTACAGGTCAGGGCAGATATCTGGCAGCCACTAAGCATTCTGCTGAACCTGGGTCCCTAAAGCAGTTGACAACTTGACTGCTTCATGGAAAAGTGCTCACATGCCAAAGCCACAACAAAAGTTGGATAGACTCTTCCAATATGGAGGGCCTTCAACATCACTACCTAAAGTTTCCCGGTCTCTCTCTCTCTCTGCAGATTGAGCATGTCACTTATACCAAATAAGGAGGCAAGTCTTCAGCATAAACCTTAGCAGGTGCCTGAACTTTGTCAGTCTTCAAAGTTTTAGAAACTTTAAGGATTTTTTTCTCCTCTTACTGAGCACACAGGGAAGTGCTGACCAGATATTTTCTCCAGAATCTGCTCTAACTAGAATGCTCATCAAGATGACAAACTTTGGGCTAGTGAAAGATAGATAAACAGTGTGCAGGTGTTTTTCCGGAGGTTTCACAGCCACCATCCTCAGAGATGGTGGTCCTGCTGTGCACAAGCTGTCACCTTTTCCAATTGAATGTCTATTGACCATTCATACCTGTGGAAGACAAGAGAAATGTTTAGTTGGAGATCCACAACGCCTCACATAGACAACGTGAGAGATTGCAGACTGCTCCTCTCAGATGTGCAGGCAACGTTCCTCACTGGTTTTCCTAGTGTGACCTGCCAGCTCCACTGCCTGCTTCACACAAGGGGTCGGAATTCAGAGATTTGGCATACTTCGTGTCTCATGGCCATGTCCTTTGTTTTGTGCACCAGCTTGTTGAACAAGGAGAGAGGATTAAGTCTGTTGTCAATGGGTGCATGAGCACTTTGAGCATGCACAGCCACATTATGTTGGTGAGCCTATCCAGAGTGAGTAGAAAATGTAGTATACCTCATACATGTGATTCAGAGGTTAGCAGCTCTTTGTGACAGCAGTACAGTGACAGAGTTATACACAGAGGACCATCACTCAGTGTAAGTTTACAGGGGCAAGATGGTGAAACTTTCCTTTGCCTGTACAGCTTCTAGGTTCTTTCATTAAATCCCACTGGCACTGTCCTGTGTGCCACCCTTGGCCCAAGCCACTTCGGGCTGGTAGGATTGCTTCTTGCTGCGTTCAGTACAAAGAGCACTATCCTTTGAACCAGAATGGCCTGCAGCGGCATGTTTAGTGAGGATTTGGAAGACATTTTATCCAACTTGTTTCTGGTGTGTGAAGTCATCAGAGGGTAGCAGGCAACCAACGCAGATTGTATGATGCTTCTGGCTTGCACTGAATGAAGGGTGTGCAGGTGACCTTCATAAATATAACACCCAAATTTTCAATCCTGAAAGGCCCTGGTGGGTTGAGCACCTCCTGACTATCTGCCATTTAACTCATGCTCCAATTTGCTTGTTGACAAAATGAGCTGAAAAGCACATAATGGTACTGAAAACCTACCACAGGCCATGGCAGAAGTGACACCCTCTAAGACACCCAATTGCCTATTTAAATTTCAAACTGGAATATCTTGATCAATTTGTCAATATCACTGAATTAGCTACTAAATAATAATTCACAAGGTTGGATCGTATAGGATTGGGGTAATTTATTAGCTGGATAGGTAACTGGCTGATGGACAGAAGACAGAGAGTTGGGGTAAATGGGTTTTTTTCTGGATAGCAAGAAGTAACAAGTGAGGTGCCACGGGGTTCGGTCCTCAGACTTTAGCTATTTACAATCAACATTAACAACTTGCATACAGGGATAGAAGGCTCTATAGCTAAATTTGTGGACAATACAAAAATAGGTGGGACAATATATAGCAATGTCGAAATAAGAACCTTACAAATGGATGTAGATAGGTTGGGAGAGCGGGCCAAAATGTGGAAGATAGAGTTTAACGTGGATAAATAGGAGGTCATGCATTTGGTCAGAAAAATGGGAAGGCGACCTACAACCTAAATGAGGAGGGACTTCGGGGTGCTCTCATGCAGAGGGATCTGGGTTTCCTCATGCATAAGTCACAGAAAACTAACATGCAGGTACATCAGATAATAAGAAAAGTGAATGGAATGCTGGCTTTCATAGCTAAAGGTATACAATATAACGATAAGGAAGTATAGTTGCAATTATACAAGGCTTTAGTGAGACCGCACCTGGAGTATTGTGCACAGT